CCTTTTTCCCAAACAGTCACAGCAGAGCGGAGACGGTTAGAATGTCCAACTGTAGCGTTCTCGTTGAAAGATGATCGATGAGGACGCCAAATAACCTTACAATGAAGTAAATTTACATCGATTTTGGCGCAAAAGTGATAGCAACAAACGGCGCCGGCTCTTCATGGTGCCAAAAATGAACGACCTATTCGTGATCAGGACATCAAATGTTCCTAGATGCAAGTCTATATCGATTTTGCTGATGAAAAACTGAATTGAAAAAGGTGTGACACCAAATATCCACCCGATCCAAAAGCAAGGGTCGTATTAGTGATCAAGTTGCCGAACAGCTCCCCTAGTCAAAGTTTCAGCAAAAAAAAATTTGCGTTGTTGGGTACCAATAGTTCTATAATTGCGAGTAGTTTCAGTTCGCAGTTATCGCGGGCTATTTGAGGTTTACCTTCAAATAAGTGTATTTTTGCTCAGTTTCTGCTTCCATAGCAAGACATTTCATGTAGTGAATGCCTTAAAACATACTTCTAATCTATTCTTGAAATTAATACTACACTTATAGTATAGTCAGTTATACAAGAATGCTATTTATAGGTTCGGAAAATTTTCTATGAAGAAGATCGTGTACGAGCAGCTTTTTACAAAAAATATCGAGGAGGTATTATGAATTTGGAAAGTCCACGAGAGAGCCTTTCTCGACAATTCATCAAGGAATACGAGACTGTTAAAAACGAACTCGCCGGTAACGTTTCTTTTTTAGTATTTTCTTTTGAAGTTATCTCTGGGTTATTACTGGAGGTGTAACCACTACTTACCGAGGGCTGCTGTGTTTTAGGGAAGGAAGAAGTCTCTGAAGACGAACTATTCCGGCGGACAGAAGAACGATTAAAGGAAGTTGGCATTCAACTGAAATAGGAATAAATTAGGAATTGTATGAAATAAATGGTTTATCAATCGATTTTTTAACCTATTCACATGGAGCGTTTTCTCCGCTTATTTCTTTTTCTATAATCGTACGGGTTCGAACTTCTCTCGTCCACCTTTTCTTTTCTTTAACAGGGTAATCTTCGTAGTCTAGAGTTCGTTGCGACGTCTCTGTTCTCATCGAAATGAAGTACTTGTCTGCTAACGAAGTGAGTTCAATTACCATTCATCATACCAATCCACTACTCTTCTATGAGCTTTTAGGTCCGCTCGACTTTCATCGAGTTTTTCAAACAAAAGAAGGCCACACGTACGTGCACTCATCGTCTGTGATTCCACACGATGATCCTACTCTCCTCTTTGCCAATGCAGGAATGAATCAGGTTTGTCTCCAGTTAGCTTATGAAGGTTATTCAGGCCCAGGGCATGCTAGTTATTGAGAGGAGATAAAATTAAAGGAGTTTTAGTGTAGAGCGGGGACTAGCCAAGCGCGAAACTCCTTTCTGCACGAGTAATCGAGGAACCAACCAGGGAACTTCTAGGCTACTTTCGTCAGATAAGCCTCTTCATCCCCATTACGGCAGTCCTAATTTTTTTCGAGATGTTCTCTTTTTACATCCGGTTTTCATTTTGTGTAGTGATAGCATGAAGGCAGAGCCACGATTACCTATAATTACCCGAACCCTTTCGTAGGGAGATAGTAGTGTGGATTGAAAAGAACAACCCTTGTAAAGTTTCCCGTCAAAAAGTGGTATAGCGCGGTAAGGCACAAGGTTGCTCAAGTGACTACGCTTTGATAGATGTCTTATCTGCTGTCTTGCTCGTTTGCATGCTCTCTCGCTGCTTTCTCTGACCTTTTCGGTATCCACGTCGATTATTTGCCTCTCGCTTGGCACAAATGATGCCTCATATGGAGCGTTTTCGACGCTTTCTTCAGGGGCATGTCAGTTACCATAGACACTTGTGTTTCTAACTCTGCTACGTACAAACGTTTCACTGGTTCTTCACGAAGCCTGCTTTCAATATGGTATGAAAATAAATAGCTTTGTCAGTGGAATGACGAAATACACGACAATGTGATGAAGAAATGAGTTAACTAAGATAGACATAGCTTTCTACGAGTCTTCAGAGACTTTGCAGCACCGCTTTCTTATTATATTTTATCAACACTTCTTGTAATTTAGTTCAAACCGCTGTTCCTCGGCATTGCCGACCCCAACAGTGACCTGGCCAAGTTGAAACGTGCAGTAAATACGCAGAAGTGCATACGTGCTGGTGGAAAGCATAACGATTTGGACGATGTAGGAAAAGACGTCTATCACCACACATTCTTTGAGATGCTTGGGAACTGGTCCTTTGGGGACTATTTCAAGGTAATTGTTTCGTTTACCTAAATTTCGATTTTTTTTTGTTTTCTTTTTGTTTCCAGTTGTTTTATTTCCGGTTTGCTTGAGAAGCAACAAGTGCTCTTTTCTGCGCATGACGGGTTCTTTACAGAAAGAAGTCATCACCTGGGCATGGGAGCTTCTGACAGAAGTCTACGGAATCCCAGCTGATCGGCTTTATGTCTCTTACTTTGGGGGAGACGACAAGGCCGGCATACCGGCAGACGAAGAAGCGAGGAGCATATGGCTCAGTCTTGGGTTTGTTATTTTGCTTTTTCTGGAAGCTTGGGATCGCAGGACTGTTTTATTCTACAGTATTCTACTTGTTTAGGTTGCCCGAAAACCGAATTCTACCGTTTGGGATGAAGGACAACTTCTGGGAAATGGGCGATGTTGGACCATGTGGTCCTTGTTCGGAGATTCACTTTGATCGAATCGGAGGGCGTGACGCTTCTCATTTGGTCAATGCTGATGATCCAATGGTTGTTGAGATCTGGAATTTGGTCTTCATCCAGTTCAACAGGTGATCTTTTGTTCTCTTTTTTAACTTCGTTTCGCTTCTCTTTTTGCTTATCTCTGATTTTCTGAGTAAGTTTTTGAAGAAGATTCCATCTTTTTAGGGAAGAGGGTGGTGACCTGCGTCCTCTCCCTGCCAAGCACATTGATTGCGGTCTTGGTTTAGAACGTTTGATTGCTGTGCTTCAGCAGAAGACATCCAATTATGACACCGATATGTTCCAGCCCATTTTTAAAGCTATCCAGGAGGTGCGTACTGTTATTCTATTTTTTCTGGGCCTAAATGTGGGTCTAAACTTCCAAATGATTTGGATGTCTAGTCACATAAGAACATTTAATGGCTTTTTATGGAGTAAATTAACCAAATTTAGTTGCGTAGACAGCGTTTATACTTCGCGATACGCGCTACC